CCCCACCAGTGATTGGGAGGGAGGAGGCACGCTTCTGCTGCTCTGCCCCTCAGCATCTCATCCTGTTCAGCCCTGGAAGCTAGCCTTGAAGGAGAGTGGCTGGAAGTGCTGACTCTCAGCAAGCCACCCTGCCAGCTCCGTCCTGGAGGGTCACTGGTGCTGCACACTCCCAAACTTGGTCTTCCAAAGTTTCTCAAAGGCTTCTGGAGCAGAACTGGCTACGTCTACACATCTAACTCCAGGGAGCAGCTGCCACTGGTTTACCTGGGAGCAGAATTTGATGAAGATGGGACACAGTGCCACATTCCCTCAAGGAAACATGTCTGTCTCTTTCCTTGAGAGGTGGTCCTCCTCTTCCTCTAGTTGTCTGTCATTGGGATAACGTTGCTCAGAGAGCCAAAACTGACTCTTCTCCCATATGTAGGAGAGTGGGCTGTAGCACCGACACTCATCCTTGCTCCGGCTTGCAGCTGCGCAAGCGTAACCTCCAACAGCACTTGCCTTTCGTTCACCTGGTGATGAGTTTGAACATTAATGTGTCGATGGCTTTACTGGGGCACTCACCAGCAATTCAACAATGGGGCTCTTATCCCGTTCAACATTTTGCATTCTATTGCAATTGAGCTGTGGAACATAGACTCTCCAGGATCAGCAGGAGAATGCACACGTATTCTGGTCCGGAGGGGAAGGCAACACAGACAGGTAACAGCAAGCTGTTCGGCTCTTTCCCAAGCCCCAGGGGACCTGGCTTCCACAGTCTCCTTTGATATGTCCCAGTGGCAAGATTGCTGTCCAAAGAGCTCTTTTGCCACAGCCGCTCTCCCATGTGCAGGCTCTCACAAGCAGGCTTCAGCTCTTGAAAAAAATTCTCTGTTTCAGTTTTTCACTAGACTAAAAAGTCAGGCCTGAGGCTTCGATCCAGGACATCTTCCTGTAGCTGTCACCCAGAGGGATAACTAGTCTGATACAAACCACCTGAACTTCTGTCTAAGAGTAGTTGCTGGAGGCAGAGGTGCAGCACAGGGAGTCCGCAGGGGTAACCAGAGGAAACACCTACACTAGTCCATCCTTGAGTGCAATCCCGTTCACACCCGTCCTGGTGTGCGGGTCCCCAGCCTGCAGGACAGAGGCCCTGGAGGGGTGGGGTTCCCAAAGCAGGATTATTCAGTGAAGGATACACCCTTTGCCCTTGGACAGCTCATAGGCCACCAGCCACTCATAGGATTCCCTGCTGGAAGCTGCTGGGCCACCAGGCCAGTTGTCCTCTCTATTTAAATAGCCGAGGCAAAATTGAAATGTGTAGGGCGCAAAAAGATGTGGAGTAGTGAAAGAACTTTTTTCAAGATCATTCACTTTTTTCAAGATCATTCTGTAGTTTCAAGAATAATAGTTTGATCCATGGCCACCCGCATGAACATGCTGTGCCCCTGTCTGGGATGTGCAAATCCTTCTTCTGGAGCTGGGGGAGGCAGGGTGGTGGCCATTCTCCACCCTAGGCCAGGTCTTGCTCCCTCCTCTTCCATCATCCTAAGGAGCTATAACGCTCACCTCGGTCCATCCAGCAGCACAGACAGCAGCCGTCTAGGAGAACAGCACCTCCTCCATAACACTGGCAAAGGCCCTGATGGTGGGAGCTAGGGCCTGGGTATCAGGAACCATTTCCCCTTCCTCTGGTGTGGTGCCTCCAGTTCTATGATCAGTGGTTGGCAACACTGGACAGACAGACCTTGGCAATACAGAGCTCTGTACACATCAGTCATGGTCTCCTCCCCTGCCAGCCCCAAAGACAGATCTTCCACAACAGCCCAACCTTCTGTGAGAATACATTCTCATGCGAACCCTTCCAACTCTCTGCAATTGCAGTGAATGGCTCAAGAGCCTCTCCAAAACTCCCTCATTTTTGAGAGAGAACAGCACCCTTGGAAGTGAGGAAAACATTAGAAGGTGTAGTGTCACTGTTGTGGTTTAACTCAGCCAGCAACCAAACACCACGCAGCTGCTTGCTCACCCTCCCCCACTCCCAGGGGGAAAAGAATTGAAGGGGAAAAGGGAAGGAGACTTGTAGGCTGAGATAAGAACAATTTAATAATTGAAATAAAATAAAATTAAAAGTAATAATGCTAAAATAATAATAAAAATGATGAGAGTATATACAAATGAGTGATGCACAGTGCAATTGCTCACCACCTGCTGATCAACGCCGGGCCTGGCCCCAGCCAGCAATCCCGAAGAGAGATCCTGAAACTGTAATCCCGAAAGAGAATGAGAGCTGGAGAGAACTTCCTGGCCAACCCTCATCTATATACTGAACATGACGTTGCATGATATGGAATGTTCCATTGGCCAATTTGGGCCTCAATCCTAATCTGAAATCCTAAACCAGGAATTGTGGGTCCCTTCCTCCACCTATGCTCCTTCCCAGCTTGTTGTGCACCTGCACACTGGCAAAACATAGGAAGCTGAAAAGTCGTTGGTTTCCTTAACAACAACTAAAACCATCAGTATGTTATCAACATTTTTCTTCCTAATCCATTACTAAATCCAAAACACAGCACTGTTCTAGCTACTAAGAAATCTAACTCTATTCCAGTCGAAACGAGGGCGGTCACCTTAATCCAGAATGGTTATGAAATTGCCATCCCTGGCAGGTAATGAAAGAAACTGCAACACATGTTCAGCGGCTTGTTGAAATTACTTACTTTGGGACTTAGATACCGAGTCTTCAGTGCTGCCAGATGTGCTCATCGCTATCTCTGCATACACAAGCAACTAACAACTGACACGTGGGATCCACATGTGTCAAGCCAGGGTGTAATGCATTTATATGGCAAGGTTTTGGTAGCAAGGGATGCTGCAGGGTGGCCTCTGCAAGATGAGACCAGGGGCGGTCCCATACCGGACACAGAGTGTTCCAGCTGGCTTTGAAACACACCCACTGCAGGACACAGCTGAGCCCATCAGACATGCTGGTGGTGCCTCTTGTGAAAACAGATTTAAGAAAGGGTAAAAAGTGCTGCATGGCAGCTGTGAGAGGAGTGAGAAAAACATTAGAGAAACAGCCCTGCAGGTCAGAGAACAAGGAGAGGGAGGAGGTGCTCCAGACTCCAGAACAGAGATTCCCCTGCAGGTCCTGGAGAAGACCATGGTGAGACAGACTGTCCCCCTGAGCCCATGGAGGACCACACTGGAGCAGATATCCACACTGCAGCCTGTGGAAGACCCTGTGCCGGAGCAGGTGGAAATGCCCTGAAGGAAGCTACAGCCCACAGAGACCACATGCAGGAGTAGGCTTCTGCAGCCTGTGCTTAAAAGCCCACGCAGGAACAGGTTTTCTGGCAGGACCTGCGACCCTAGGGGGCACCCACACTGGAGCAGTCTGCTCCTGAAGGATTGCACCTTGTAGCAAGGACTCATAGTAGAGCAGAGGAACAGTTTAAGGAGGACGGAGCAGCAGAAGAGTATGTTATGGACTGACCACAACCCCCATTCTCCATCCCTCTGCACTTCTGGGGAGGAGGAGGTAGAAAAGTCAGGAATGCAGGAGTGAAGTTGAGCATGAGAAGAGATAAGGTGGGTTAGTTTTGTCTTTGTTTCTCATCATTCTACTCAATCTTTAATTGGCAAAACCAAAATGAATCGTCCCTGAGTCTATCTGGCCTGTGACAGTAATCATGAAGTGATCTCTCTGTCTTTTTCTCAGCCCATGAGCTTTCCCATCTTATCTGCTCGCCCTGTGAAGAAGGGGAAGTGACAGAGAAGGCTGGAGGGTATCTGGCAGGCAACCAGCCAAGGTCAAATCCACCACTCATGGAGATAGGAATACAGGATAGACAGAAGGCAACTTCCTGGTTCAGCCCTGAGAACTACTGCTGAGCACCCAGAGAAGACCCAAACCTGGAGAACAAGACCCTGTCTGAACCCTGTGCCTTGCACATACATGCAGCAGGACATCTAGGGTGAGCTGAGCTGGGTGAATGTTGCCTGAAGCAAGGTCAGGAGCAGCTGCTCTATGGCCAAGGCTACAGACAAGACAGATGTCTTCAAGTATGTAGTGACAGGGTATACAGAAGAGGTAAACAGGCTCTTCAAGAGTTGCACAGCAATAGGACATGTCGCAGAAGTCACAGACTGCAACAAGAGAAATACAAAGAAGAAATTTGAAAAAAAAAAAAAACTTTCCCATGGGAATACTCAAACATTAGAATAGGTAGGACAGAGAGGCCATCCAGCTCTGGAAATATGCAAAACTGAAAAAATTTGGAGCAATCTGACAAAAGCTGTTCCTACTTTCAGTGAAGGCTGGGACCTGGTGGTCTCCAGAGGTCCATTCCAACCTGGAGTACTCCTGACAGCACAAACATTCGATGATCTGTGCTGGTAAGACACTCAAAACCAAAAGATAAATGTTGTGCTTGCAAAATACACAGTCCACACATTTAAATTCATTAAAAAAAAAAAAACAACACCTTATTGCTTTATTCAGATTTTGACATAGCTCACTTTTACGCTACTGGAAGTCCTATTGAAGATCTATATAGAAATCACTGACTGCTTTTCAGCAGAGATCAGCTTAAATCAAACAGATTAAAATGACAGTGGAATTCACCCTGAAAAATTTCTTATGAACTAAGCAATTTTTTCCTTTGTCTAAGAAGAGCAATCCCCATAAAATGCATTTTCTGGCCTTTGGTTTGGGCTCCTTTTTTGTGTTTGTTTTAAACAAAATTTTGAAGTATTCTGTGGATGTATTTTACATACTACAAGAATACAGGATGGCTTTGTGAAATCACAACTTCCAAACAGTCTTCTGAGAAACTTTGAGAGTTACATACTAGCAATATTGTATCTTCTTTGACTTAAAAGTGCATACACATTCAAAGGTTTTATACATTTCCCAGACATCTTTTAAGGTACACAAATCACATAAGGTGTTTTTGTTCTCAAGGGGAAAAAAGGTAGTTAAATTCACAATTTTAAAGAAGTGTTCTGTGAAAGGTGTGCTACATTTTTTCTTCTGGGAAATCAAACCAAGAGGATCTGCTGACAAGTCCCTTTGGCAGTCTTAGTATCAACGGTTGTCTCTCTGGACTCTCTAGGAAGGAAATCCTGGGAGAAGGCAGTTGACTGGAAGGCATTGCTGGTGTTTCTTGAACGTAGCTGGTTACGGTTTCTGTGGGACAGGTGTTACTGCTGGTAAGACTCTGATCAGCTGCTGTTTCTCGAAGTTCAATGTTAACATTTCTAACGTCACCATCTAAGTCTCCCCTTCTGGTAGGAACACTGTACTTTTTGGCTGCTCCTTCAGTTTTCTCACCAGCTCTGTAAACATCTCCACATCCTGCCTTTTCCAGTAAAGAAGACGGAGGTTCATATTCCCTCTCGTTTATCTGAGTTGTGCCTGTCCAGGTGATACTGCTGTCGCATTCGGTACTTTCTGGCTCCTTGCTACTGTCACTATCAATTGTAATCACCACTGGAGAAGAACGTGCCGAGTTACTCTCGTGATGTTTCCGGTGTTTCTTCTTATGCTTTTTCTTTTTCTTTTTAAGATGCCTTGTTGTGTCTGTTGCTTTTCCTTCGTAGACTATCTCCACACTTGGACTCCTCATCTTTTTTTTCTTCTTCTTACGCTTTGTCTCACTGCTTGCTCGATTGTCTGAAAGGCTGTCTTCATTTCTGTAGCAGTCACTGAGTTTTGAGAAAGTTTTCTTGGGGTTATTTTCTCTTTCTGGACTTGTGCTCTCCATGAATGTATTCTCCAAGTGGCGAGTTTTGTACTTCCTTTTTCCACCAGGCTTTTCACTTTTCATTCTGTCAGTCCCTGCAGAAGGGGTCCTTGGCCTGTTGCTTGACTGACTCCTCGACCTGCATCTTTCGTAACAGTAATAGTGTCTCTCATGGAGTCCTCTCTGGCTACGCAGATCTGTCCTTTCAACAAATGATTGTATCCTGTATTCTGGACTAGCAGATTGCCTTGAATAGTGAGCATTAGACTGAGTCCTCCTGCTGGAGGATTCATAGCCATCTCCAAGCGCATTTCGGCTACAGAAAGCATAACCCCAGTGGTACCTACTTTGATAATTGTCTCTTACATAGTAACGATCACTGTCTCTGCTTCTCGATCTCCTTTTACTGTGGCCTTTGCTACGTGATCGTGATCTGCTTACTCCTCTGGATGGAGTGCTGTCACGACTTAGAGAGCCTCTCTGGCTTTTCAGAGAGACTTTGGTGTCATGAATCCTCGACCTTCTGCTGCTTCTTTTGCTCCTGTGTTTGCTGCTATCTCTGCTTCTCGAACGCCTCCTTTTCAGTTGGCTTCTTCTACGATGCTCCCTCCTAGACTGATGGCCATGACTACTTCGACTTTTCCGTGAACGCGACTGTGGGCTTCTGGACTTTCGCTTTCTAGACAATCTGTGATTCCAAGGGGAGCTTACTGTGTCACTCTCCAGAGAGGGGCTCCAGCTCAAGTCCTGTAGATTCAGATCTTCTACCTTATATTTGGTCTTTTCATTGTCTTTTGACTCTGTCTTCTCACCTGCAGGAGATAAGCAACTTCTAGAACTACCTACATCCTCCTTATACGTGGGGGAACGTGGTGAGAAACTCCTGCTTGGTTCACTATCACTCCAGCTGCAACACTGGATTGGCTGCTGTTTCTTCACGTCTTCCCTTTTCTCTTCCCTGATGGACTCCTCAGAGTCCGAGGACAGCTCAACCACTTCTGGTGTCCTCTCAGCTAACGGTTTAACGTACCCAACAATAACACAATTGTCCGAGGAAGAGTCACTGTTGTTTGAGTCAGCATTAGCCTGTAACTGAGTTTGCAGTTTGGTTCTTCGACTCTTCGTAGCAGAGTCCTCATCAGAACTTCCTGACGTCTCTAGAGGAGAAGCTATGGTTGTACGAACATCTTCTGAAATGGAATAGGAAGGCCCCGGAGTTTCATCATCCCAGGGGGCCTGACCAAGACCAGTCACAGACAAACTGTTATCTGGTCCTTGAGAATATGCCGTATCTGGAGATATTGTAATAATTGACAAGTCTGAGTGGCTTCCTTCATCATATGATGGTGCAGGGCAGTCATAATTGGCATGTTGATCGTACGCTTCTAAGTTAAAAGGACAACGGGCAAAACTGATGAATTCATGTAAGAAGTGTTCAGTCCGATTCAGCAAAAATGGCTTTAAATCTTCAGCAAAGGCTTCACTTTCCAGATCATACCTCGTCACATTACTCATGATAATGTGCTGTACGATATTAACCAAAGACCCGTGGGCACCAAACAAGACTGTAAGTTCTCGCTTCAACCAAGGAACCAACCTGTGGAGGCAAGCAGGGTTGCGGCGGAAAAACTCTGCTGAAATGTCTCGATAGCGGCCACCATCCTGAATACTGCGAATACGCACACCGGTACGGTACAGAGCTCTGCGGAAGTTGATCATGTCCTCCTCCTGAATCTGCCGCAGAGATCTGCCCTCTGCACTAGCCTGCCTCCTTGAGGCCAGCCTCCTTATCATCTGCTGAATCTCTCCATCTCTCTGCTGCACCGGTTCACTCGACAACCCTTCAAACAATATCCCATTATCCGGAGGGGACAGCGTCCTTCGGGAAGGGGAATTGCCAGCACGGCGTGTCCTTGTTAAGGTGGTACGGTAACGAAACCTCTGGCCATCGGGGCTGGCAAAAGACCTATTTTCTGAAGGGTTGAGTATGTACTCCTTAAAGTCATCTTCAGCACGAATTGTATGGAAAATGGAAGAAAAGGGTTGCTTGCAGAGGGGGCATTCTGCTTTGTTTTTTGACCACTCCTGGACACAACAGAAACAGAACCTATGCAAGCAGCGATCCAGATACGCAACATTGTCAAATCTATCCAAGCAGATGGGGCATTTAGAGTCAGGAGATGCATCTGTTGGCAGCTTGCTGGTGCTGGCTTTTGGCGAAAAGTTGCTGTCTTCTGCAAAGTCCTTATCTGCCGAAGTCATCTTCTACAAAAGAGAAAGACAAAAGATCATTGCTATCTCAGAGAGACAAAAATGTTAAAGTGTAGACACAGAAACCCGTGACAGTTACCTTTAAGGTTACAAACTCCAGCACTAGCACTGAGACAATACCAAACAAAGAGGCAGCATGACGTAACTACTTCGCTTGGCTTCTCTTCACAGTGAGATCTGTTTTTTCCGTGTTCCAAGTTTTAAACAGAGCTTGAATCACGCTGGTATACATAATGGTAACAGATAGGACTCTGTCTTCTTCCCCACTCGCAAATAACTGCTCTGACGTGGTCAGTAAGTTTATGATTAACATGGTATCCTCCGAAACACACTTCCAAAGGAGACCAGCGTTTACATATGAAAAATATGAGAACGGTTAGTTCTGTCCTTTAAGAAAAAAAGTCAAAACAAGTAATTGCACTTGAACTAAACCACCAGTTTCCAAGCTCTGCTGGACCTCTCCTGTTCCTTCACCCTCTGCCTCTGTTTTGCTGAGCGCTCATGCTGGACTACATATGGCTTGTTGGACTAGACAACCTCTAGGCATGTGTTCCAGCCTAAACGAGTCTTTGTTTTTATGACTGGAGCAAAAACAGCCAGGTGTCATTCCTACACCCACGCTCAGGTACACGCTGCCTTTATATCTAGCCAGGCAGTCAAGCACGGTTCGTAATAAATCCGCCTATTTTAAAGTCATCTCGGGTATCAGCACTATCCTGCGGCACCATAATTCAGCGGAAACAAGCCACCGCACTACTTCAGAGCTCTCCAGCCCACCTTTCGCAGCAAGCCCAGGCGCGGACCGCAGCTGCCCGCGGGACGCCAGGCGCGAAGCGTGCCGTGAACACAAGCGAGGCGCGCCGGGGGGCACCAGCGCACAGACGCGCCGGGGAGAGCGCGCACACGCGGGCCGGGAAGGAAGGAGGAAGGAGGAAGGAGGAAGGGGGAA